ATCATTTTCAGTACAAGTCAAGGCGGAATGTACATATCACTACTTTATGACAATAACTAACAAAACATTGCAATGATACAGAAATGTCCTTGCTTGCTCCTCTCTACACAGTAGGGGTTAGCTTTAACCAATCTCTCGTTTAGCTGTGTAAACGTCATATCTCCCTGGCCGACGTCAATTGCGTACCAGTCTACAACAATCCCTCAGTTTTTCCTCTGAACTGTTATGCTCACGTATTCCTGGCAACGCAATACGCATGTGCAGAAGATCATTTACGACAAAATTGGCACGTTTTTAGATAGTCCAAAAAGAGTTTTACGACAAGCCGGCGCTTTGCGACAATATGAGTCGGCAAGTTCCGGACAGAAAACCGATCTGTAGAGACTCGTCGTTGGAGATTTTTTTTTTTTTTTTTTTTTTTGAAAAAAGGCGAAAACTAATGCGCGCGTGGATGTCATCCATACAATTAAGTCGGTGTGGCCTTATATAAAATAATGATCACGTTTGCAGGCAATGGGAAATCCACGGCCTTCCGTGATGCACTGTTCAACGACTACACACAAATCTAAATGTGTTACGACAATATATTATATTATATTACATATGTGATATGTTACAAACCATAAACTCGGTTAAATGCGTTCATGGCATGGCAGCTAAAATATCATACGTATATAAAATTAACGTTACCGTGTTTAAAATATAATTGACTTGATAAATCATAGCATGAAACAGTTGTCATTATTTGCAGGTTCGGTGATGGAAATAATCGTCTACATCCATTTCCAGGTACAGTTATGCCAATATATCCACCGGCGTAAATCCACATGGGCGTTACGGGTGCGATGATATCGACATGCTGCCAACTTCAAATCCTGACTCGGAATGCTGACTTCATACACGTTGCAAATGAAATAAATTGTAAAATCAATTTTGAAATTGTTGACACCAGAGATGAATGTTATCTGTCAATGGTTTTGACAACCATAAACACAGCTCCGCCAATAGTTGACTTTCAAACTGGTTATGGTTCAATAAGTCTGGTCTTAAAGAATAAGTTTGGGCGGAGCGAAGCCCAAATTTATTCCAAAAAACTAGTCTTATCGAATTCTAACTTGTACAAATGGTATTTTTTTTTTTGCTAGTTTCTTGTGTTTCACCAGACACAGTTTCACACCCAATGCACAATCCAGACAGTGATAACGCAAACTGGCAGACAACACACCGCAGTTCAGAAAGTGTGAAACGTCGTGTAAAAATAGATGAGAATGTATTCAGAACACAACAAGTCAGCTGACTTTTAATTACTGCCTCATTACAAATCAGTTTAGGAAAAAAACAACTCACGAGATTACCTGTTTTAATGTGTTTTGTTGTTGTTTACATCGTGAAGCCGTGTCAGCTCAATGACGTAGCATACTCGCCTCGTGTCACAGAGACACGTGCAAGTGCAAAATATTCCCATAATACAGATTCAAGTACACATAGTTTAGGTCACACGATGCCGTGATACGAAAATACTGTATTACGCCTCCCCACGCTAAAAATTTGCTTCTAGTTCTAGAGAAAATTGATAATTAATTAAATTATTCGATTTCGTCGCAGACGTTCGATCCGCACCATTCACGCATTACACGAGATTTCGCAGTGAGCGGGTAATCATTCATATATTTATCCCAAGTAGAAAATAACATGTGCATCACAAATTGTTTTCGTTTTACATGTAACATCCATGCTCTGGGTAGCATGGTGTGATATATATTTTTTCTTCATTCTCCGTGGTTTGTTCGACTTTATGGATGTTCGTGACTTGTTTTCAATACGCTGTCTGCAATGGTTCAGACATTTTCACACCCAGTGTACAACCCAGACAGTGATAACTCCAACGGACGTACAGCACATCCAACAAACACAGGGAGTGTGAAACGTCGTACAAAAACACTTTAATTGGAAAGTTTGAGCTGAAATAGCACAGTAACTGAGAGTTTATACAGAGATCACCAAGACAACGAACGGTTAATTACTGTCTCCTTAGTTCAATGACGAAAATAATGAAACAAATAAAATTATAAAGGGGTTCAGTTTAGAGAAACATTAGCATGAAATTCGAAAGTATTTTTGTTCAATCAAGAGGTCGTTAATTAAATTCCTGATATGTTCTCTATGTAAGTCATCGGAGACTAGCAGTGAGTCTGTATATCGACTTGTGCCTCTCTCTACATTTGGTTTTTTTTCAGTGACATTTTGAACCTTTCACGACGTTTTCGGACCGTAGACAAAATTGAAAATGACATGACGGTTTCCGGGGACGTTATCTGACGCCCATTGGCGGTGCGATTGTGTCATACACACGCGTTGCTTGACGCGTTGAATCAGGAATTTACTCGTAATTTTAGTCGAGTGAAAACAAAAAGAATTATAGGATTTAGTATGACCACAAAAAAGAACGGGACAACAATATTGCGGTATAAGACACTACTATGCTAACTAAATAGCTATTTTAGTCACATTGCTTTTTTTGGCAACACTCTGTGTAATCAAAGACATTAGAAATGTAATTTTTTAATGTCTTTGGTTTATTATGTAGCTATTTTGAAAGCAAAACAATGTATCATACTGCAATACTGTCGTCCTATTATTTCTTGTGGTCAAATTCAATGACAACAAAACTACAAACTGTGGTGCAAAACAAAACAACACAACACAGAGGAACAGTCCGTCTATAGAGGAATTGTGACAGAGATTACATCCCGTATGATATAAGCATTTACATAGCACATCTTTCCATTTACGTCAACTGTGACGTAGGCTATAACAGTAAACATTACATCACGCTTGGTAGAGTGTTTCAGACACACTATTGTCTTTTCTCTCAACAATCCATTACGTTATGCAAAACAAATGTAGACATGGATTACCGTTACTAGAAATAGTCGTCCTGTGAGTATATGTGTACAGTTAACTGAGTTTATTTACTGTTTACACATACACACTATTCACGTTCATATTTTTCTCTTTTAGATGTTCTTTTTAAATGCCTGTATTTGTCATTTTGTAAAAACACTCACTGCGTGTAATTAAAACTGCATCATAACAGTTTCTTTGCCTCGTGTTTAAGTTTGACAATAACACAGGTTTACTTCCGGGAAAACATCCTTAAATATCTTATCACTTCTACCATGGAAGGTACCTTCCGTGCTTCTACCTTGGGCGTGAAATAATTAAATATATCTCACTTTGTCTTCATGGTCAGATCATGGCTAAATAAATCCATACTGTGTATTGTTGTCAATGATAAAATGCGTCGTCGTTGTCCGGGACGTGTACCAGACAGTTTCACACCCCGTGCACAACCAAGTCAGCGACTGACAGACATCACGTCATCAACACCGAGAGTGCGAAACGTCATACAAAAAATGAGATTATCAACAAAAATGCAGGAGTAACTGAGAGTTTATTCAGAAATCACCAAGAAAACAAACTTTTAATTACTACCTCATTAGTTCAATTGTGAAAATAATCCAGCAACTAAATATATAAATTGTTCAATAATTTTTTTTTGGAACCAGCAAATAGCTACCAGAGGTCGTGTTGGAGAATTCATGGAGGTATGTTGTCATGAGAGGACAAGTGTTCGATAGAAGTATTACGCAAGACATTCTTAAGTCAACGCACCGGGAAACACATATAAAACAATGCGACGACAATAACGGGTATACGAGGCAACTAACCATAGCGACGACAGACTAGAAAACCCGACACCAGTGATGAACTATTTTTTCTACTCTTTTTTTGTTAATTCGTTGTTTAGTGCCATGTATGTATTGGGGTCTAAAAACTAACTCTGCGACGCGATTGTGCGACGCGATTGTGCGACTCGCCGAATGTCGATTATTGCACTCTGCGACGGGATCGCAGTGTCACTCAGCGAAGAGCACGATTCCCATTGGTTGGTTGGTCGAACAGCGCGAATCCCAATGGTCGATGTTCACTGCATGACTTAAAAAAAATTAAATTATTACGTAATAACATTTACTATTTAGGTGTAGTATGTAACAAGTCTGCTACCCTCACAAGTTCGTTTGGTGTGTTCATTACTCGGCTATAGTATTTAATCATCTCATAAAAACATCTGTTGGAAATTACTAATCCCATTATGGGAGTGTTTTTACGCGCACCTAGGATGAATCGTAAAAGATGTAGATGTAGACATCTTCTATGTCAGTTTTGTAAGAGTTCTCGCCTCTCAAAATATCACTGTCGTACTAGTATTGGTTTAATTAATTAATTGAAGGGGAACAACATTGTTTTTTTAAATTTAGAATAGATTTATCGCCAACTTTTTGTTTCAATGAGAACAAAGCTTTTTCCCTTTTCCTTTTAAAGAATTTACCTCTTTCTTGGACTTACCATTGATGTCCTAACGTATCAAACAAATGAAATTATAGGATTTCACATTCAATGAAAACATTAAGACAACCCACGATTGGTTGAAATAATCTTCTCATTTGCATATTGTCTCAATAGTTACGAGCTGAAATAATCAAAACACTGATGTACAAGTGAGTCCAAGGCAGCAAACTGTTGAAAAACACGCGGCAAAGTACATCACGGCCTAATGGAATTTGATATGGTAGTTTGAATCACACCAGAGCATTCTCATACGTGATTTAAACATTTTCTGACGAAACAATTTAAAGTAAGTAAACTGGATAACGCTATTATTCTATTGGTGGTGCCTCAATGCTAAATCCCCTATGCTAAGGTGATTACCACATACCTGTGCGAATTTATGTGGAATCTAAACCAGCCCCTCTAATAATACATAACTAACTCACTATATTTCGAAATTTTATGAATTCAATATATTATGAAAACTAATATTGAATAATAAATTCTTATTGCTAATTCTTATTTTTTCAGATACCTTCCGTAAACGAAGGTGTTCACAGTGAACGATGTTATATATTGTTCAAGTAACTGAAAACTTGTGTCGTGCACACGATCATTCGACGACTGGATTATACAATCAGGGCCACGTGGACAGGTGGCATTTTCGTTAAAGAAGCAACAACAACAACTTGGACCGAATGCCTTTTAAATTTAGACCGGAAGTTATAGCAAACAAACTTGACGGTATTGGTATAGTTACAAAATGAGTGGGAAATGTAAGTGGTAGAGCCAGCATTGCCGATTGTGTACTGAATTGTAGTTTTCAGCCGCACCATTCATTTCATTAAGTGCGGGTTTTTATATTGCGAACTATTAGACCAATTTAAAATTACAACATATACAACGTACAACAATACAAATTTTTAAATTTTGAGATTATGCAGTCCGCGCGTACATGTTTGGGAACTGCGCATGCTCGGGTCTCGTTTCAAAATATCCGCGGAGAAGATCGTGGCAATTTGGTCAGGTGTTTCGATTTTCACAGGATTTTACCCGTTTTCTTAGTTCGAATAAAGGTAATATGAGTCGATCGATAGTTTCTACCGATATCATGCTTGAGTTGTGTGAAGCGGATCGAAATATAATTTCAAAAATCGTGTTATTTTCGGACAATTCCGATGTCATGGTGTCAATGCTTTCCTACCTTGTGTTATTATATGAGTGGTAGGCGAATGTACCGGCGACTGACTAACTATGCCGACCCCACTTCAGGTCATTTTTTATTATCCAAGAAACGTTCCGAGTGGAAGACGCACTGCATTTGCTAGACAGTTTTTCTTATCAAAATGCTAACAATTTCAATTACCAATTTGTATTTGGGAGATAAAAACTCAACACTTTTATAGAATAAAAGTTGTAATCGCATAATATTAAATTGGGATAACACGATTTTCAGGGTTGTGTCAAGAACAAGCAAGACTATGAGAACTTTTCCTTAATTCTTGGTACACGCTTTTATATTTACTAAGTAGGAGATTACAAATTACTTTAATATACATGAAATTTGCTATGAAATCTTTAAGTGTTTAATCACTAAGGTCAAATGTCACTTAAATTGAAGAACATTGATATCACTTATGAAAATATTTTAACACTATTTGTACAATCAGTGACCACAACTTTTCCATCATCAGTAATTGCTATACCCCTAGGGCTATTTAATACATCACTACCACTAGCAATATTGGTTATAAATTCACCTTTACTGTTAAACATCTGCACTCTATGTTTGCCATCATTTACATAAATATTATCATTCTTATCAGTAGTAATTCCTCGAGGCCAGTCAAACGTGTTGGAGCAGCAACTAAATGCAAACATAAATACACCATCAGATGTAAGAACCTGAATACGACCATATCTTCCATCCGAAACTATTAAACAACCCTCACTATTAGTAGTTATAAACTGAGGATATATAAACTGGCATGGCCCTTGACCCCAACTACCAAGTGACTTAATATAACTATAATCTTCTATTTTATATAGCTTGATACAATGTGCACCATTATCAACCACATATATAACACCATTATTATGGTTGATAGCAATTCCACGTGGATTATGTAATTGTGTCTTTCCAAAACACTGTATAACCTTCCCATATTGATTACAAACAATCACTTGACTATTTCCTCTATTGCCCTCCCATGTTCCATCTGTAATGAAGTATGTATTATCTACTGATACTGCTACATCTATTGGAATGACTGGTTTACTATATTCTGTAAATTGTAACTGTGACTTTGGTCTGCCATAGTTATCTATAACCTGAACTCTCTCATTCTTACTATCAGCCACCACAATATCACCACATGTATTGATGCTCACTCCAAGTGGTACATCAAACATCTCCTGTTCCGTGCCTTGTCCCCCCATGGTTTTCTCCAATTTCATCAAATGCGCGGCAGAATCAACATCGATAGTCTGAAAAGTTCCCAGTACGCCTTGCAGTGTGATGTCATCAGGATAAAACTGTGGAAGTGATTTATTGTCACCATTCCATGTTGTATCAAGTGACATCATAGTTTCCAGTTGATTTGTTGTTTCTTTACTAGTTTTCATCAGCTGTGCAGCACTGCTATATTGTAATAAATTGTTTATAAACGTTATTGTACTTGTCAGTAGTTCCTCAGTTGTTTTATACTGGCGCATTTCCCTCTTGATCTTTTCGTTCATTTTTTCATAATCAGTTTTTAATTTGCTCAAGTGATTTCTTTCTTCTTGTTTTATTATTTTTGTTAATTTCTCAATAGTTTCCTGTGAGTGCTTTTGAATCTGATGCTTTTGTTGCAAATATTGTTTTGCTAATTGTTCGGAATGTTTTGTGGCACTTACTTTACTTTGTCTTGCCTTACTTTGTTTTGCTTTCAAAAGTTTAATGTAATCTTCTACCATATTACTTAATCGATCTGCTGCCCCATGCAAGTCGATCACTGCATGACCTTTGTGATTTGACCTCAAACATAAATGACAGATTGGTACTTGGCATTTCTCACAGTAAAGTTCAATGAGTTTGTCTTTATGGAAAGTGCAGTGAGTTGCATATGAGGCTATCGATTTGTTTTGTGATTTAGCCTTTGTAAACTCCTCGACAGTCATTATACGATGATGTTGACTACTGGCATTTTACTGTGAGCGTTGGTGCAGTTGTACACAAATCCATAGCACAGTCTACACACCTGTTTGTCGATGAGTTTTCTTCACAACCATGGCATGTTCCATGACATCGATGTCTTTCTTGATCTTCAATAATATCTATGACAGAATTAATTATCGTACTTGGTGGAAGTTGTTGAATATTATTCACGGAATGACGTTGTCTGCAGTTGGGACATTTAACCGTGCCACGTGTTCCTTTCAACTGCACCAAACACTGCTCACAGAAGGAATGGTGACATGGTAAAATCTTTGGATTCTTGTAACGTTCCAAACAAACTGTACAAGTCAGCAGATCTTCGTCAATCTTGTCAACAACAGATATTTTACCTGGTATAACTCGTTGACGTGATTCATAACCTTCCTGCCGTGCGACAGTGTTAGTCATTCGATGGTGTACATTGCCAGCTCCCATATTGCGACATGAATTAAAATGACAGAGGAGCAAGAGACATATGTATATAGTCTGCTGCCTGTAACAAAATAGACGGCTCAAAGCTGGCATGGTTTAAAGTACTTCGTTGTTTGGAAACAATCGGAAACCACGACAACTCGCTTGGCAACAAATCGATTGCGATCAACAAGGTCACATCGTCACTGAATTACCATGCCTGAAAATATTTCACTATTTGTTTTACATAATCTATTTGTTGGGTGAACCCAAACACAAAGGGCAGATTGGTACATTTCGCAAGAACACTCAATAAGTTTTTCTTGATGCGAACTCCTGTGAACTATCAAT